TCCTCTCCCCTCCCCTCCCCTCCCCTCCCTTTCAAAGCTTTACTAAAGGGTCTGAACTTCGAAGTCCCTCCATCAGTACTGAAAGACCCTGACAACAACTCAAGAAGCAGTTCCTACTGGTTCTTATGGTCTGTTCTGCATCTCATTCCAGGGCGGAGGACCTGTGCTGGAGAGACTCTTGCCAAAATGGAGCTCTTTCTCTTCTTCACCAGCCTCCTGCAGAGGTTCACCTTCCACCCTCCCCCTGGAGTTTCTATCTCAGACCTGGACCTCTCTCCCTCTGCTGGGGGCACTCTTACCCCAGTGATTCATGAGGTCTGTGCAATGCCACGTTCCTAGGGCTTTTCTTAGCCATCTCCTTTTCCTGAAACAAATAGATAAAATATCTTCATCTCTAGTCCCACGTGGGGCATCTGGTACTTCTGAATCCAGAAAGGAAGTTTTAGACCAAGTGCAGCTTGGCTCACAGCTGAAGGTGTCTCACCCACCATAGCTACAGGCTGCAGCCCTGATTTCCAGCCACTCTTTGAAAGGGAGGGTGGTGGTCATTGCAAGGATGAATCTCAGGCAAAGTCCATTTAATTCAGTCCTACCCTACACCTCTGCATGTTCCCCTTGATGAAAGAGGCCAGGGCCAGTCTCTAGGCCAGACTTCAAAGGATGCTACACTGATCTACACACACAAACCCAAGGGCTTTCACCTTCCTCACCTCCAGCACAGCTGCATTCCAACTTCCTTGTGAAAATGGTGCATTACACAACTTACCCCCACACCGGTGCCCTGAATTCTCACATACACAAGCACAGAAATGTAACCAAACTGCTGAACACCTGAGATAAGGAAATGTGAGGTGTTTGCCTGATGAAGAACTGCAGTGGAGATCCACAGAGGGCTCTCAGGTGTGTGGTTATACACTCTTGGAAGTTTAAATAGTTAACTATGGAATAAAGTATGTATTAATGATACTGATAAATACACAGAAAAATAAAAAATACTCCGTTTCAAATCAAACTGTTGCCAATGTTGTCTTCAGAGCTGCAAAGCTCCCCTTTTGCACTTGAATTGGCTTCTGGGGTTGCATCCTTGCCTGAAACATACAATCAGGGCTGTGCTCCCAGTGGGAACTGGTAAAACCAGGCTTTTCCTAGGCCTCTCCAATTTCTGCCTCATTCGCCCCTGCTACAGCATTTTAGCCACAAGAACAAGTCTTGTTAGTGACAAGATGTCTTCTTGCACTTTGGTAAGGCTTTTGACACTGCAGCAAGATCCTCATACACAAGTTGTTGATGTATGGGCTGGATGAGCAGACAGTGGGGTGAGTTGAAAGACTGTGGAAAAGCCAGACTCAGAGGTTAGAGACCAGTGTCATGAGGTCCAGTTGGATGTCAGTGACTAGCAGGTTACCCCAGGGATCAGTACTGAGTCCAGTCCTGTTTAATGCATTCATTAATGATCTGGATGATGGGGTGAAGTGTACCCTCAGCAAGTTTGCTGATGACACCAAACTGAAAGCAGTGGCTAATGAACCAGAAGATTGTGTAACCACCTAGAAGGACCCCAACAGGCTGGAAAAATGGGCTGATAGGAAAGCCATGAAGTTCAGCAAGGAAAAGAGCAAAGTCCTGTACCTGGGCAGGAACTACCCCAAGCACCACTACTGGGGGCTGCAAAGCTGGTAAACAGCTTGGCCAGAAAAAGACCTGGGGGTCACAAAAATGTGTCTTTGCCACAAAAGAGACTATTTGTATTCTGGACTGTGTTAGGAGTGTTACCAGCAGGTTGAGGGAGGTGATCCTTCCTCTCAGTTCAGCACTGGTGAGGCCACACCTGGAGTGTCATGTTCAGTTCTGGGATCTTCAGTGCAAAAGAGATACGGACATAGAGAAGAGAGTCCAGCAAAGGGACACAAAGATGTTTAAGGGACTAGAGCACCTCTCCAGTGAAGAAAGCCAGAGAGAGCTGGAACTGTTCAGCCTCAAGGAGAGATGGCTCAGAGAGATCTTATCACTGTGTATAAACACCTGTAAAGACAGACGTTGGCTCTTCAGTGGTGTCCAGTGACAGGAGTAGAAGACATGGGGCACAAACTGAAATGCAGGAAGTTCCCTCTGAATGTCAGGAAACACTTCCTTACTGTGAGAATGACCAAGCACTGGCACAGGTTGCCCAGGGAGGTGGTGGAATCTCCCTCCTTGGAGATCTTCAAAAGCCATCTGGACTAGTCTTGGGCAACCAGCTTGAGGTGGCCCTGCTTGAGTAGGGGGAGTGGACCAGAAGACCTCCAGAGATCCTTTCCAATCTTAACTATTCTGTGATTTGAAATTCCCAATTAATTCAATGGAAGCAAAGTTATATTAATTCCTAAGTGCTTTAAAAATAAAAATCCCTGTGCATTAATCACTTGGGGACTGGCAATCTGATTTTTGTTCCTGGGGTGTCAAGGCTATGCCTGTACTAATGATGCAAACATAGTTAATCAGTAACCTGAAGAGCATGTAGAATTTATTACTGCGGTTCTCCATGTTCTTGGACTTTCATTTCCAGGGAGCTACACACTCACCAAGTCACACATGCTTGGCTAACATTTACCTGCCTCTGTACCATGCTGTGAATTCACCAGCAAGCACAGAGGAAGAGAATAAAACCAGTCACCAATTGCAAGAAAAACCTACCCTTCACTGGGATAGAGGCTTAGGGACTAGGACAAGAGTGTCTCAATAGAATTTTTTGCATGAAACAGAGATCCAGACTACACGTTTTCTCTTCTATAGCAAATACATGGTTAAATAGAGATGGACTGGAGCAGCTGCACTTCCATTGGTTTAGTTCTTATCCTGGCTTTTCTCTCCATCTTGAAAGTGAGAGGTTTCTGGAATAACCACCGGAGGAAGAATTTTCCCCCAGGACCAAGACCATTACCTATCATCGGAAATCTGCTTTTGTTTGATTTGAAGAGACCCTACAGGACTTATCTACAGGTAGTTATCACATTTTTCTCTTGCTGATCCTTTCTTAGAGGTTTTTTGACTTAGACATTAAAAAATGTTTTTCTTGCCTATTGTCTTAAAAGGGATACTTGCACCTACATATCTGCACGGATGTTACATCCACAAATTGAAAGACCGCTCAGGTGCAGCATCTGGAAAATCATCTGTAGCTATCCAATGCAGCATAACTGGTTTGCCAAAAGCAAGCTCCATCTCTTCTCAGTCCAAAAGATCCAACATGTCTCTGTCATCATTCCAGTAAATCCATTCTAATGGAGAAGGCTGGTCCTCTGACTTGAGCTTAGCTCAAGACTTACAATTTAAAAATGTGTACTTAGTGTGCAAATGCAACTGGAGACCATATGCAATCAACATTGCAAGCACTGGAAAGTCCTTACTGGGGAACACCCTTTGAAAAGATCATACTCTTGCCACAGCTACAGCAGTCTGGGATAGCAGTATCACCACCAAAGAAGCTCCTCTTAATTCAGACACATGTCACTGCTGCTATGTTATTTCATGTAGCTGGCTGGACTTGCTTACCAGTTGCTGAATATTTTGTGTATTGACTCTAAATAGTTGTCTTTTGTTTCTCTGTGTAAACACACTAGATAAGAAATACAGTCAGGAAAACCCTCTCCTATTGTCAGGAGAATCAGGAACATTGAGTTCTATGAAAATAAATCTGCTTATACAAGATAAAAAGGTACCAGCTTAGGCCAAACATTGTCTCTGAGACACATTCATGGTGGATGCAGTCATATATGAAAAGTGAGACTTTACCTAGTGCTAGATCCTGGCCCAGAAACACACTGGACTTTTTATACAATAAAGGTAACAGGGTTTGAACAGGCTTAGCCTGTCAACACAAGAAACACAAAACTGTAGAGATCAGTGAGGAAAAAATGAGTCCAAACCTGAATTTACTGAGGTTTCTGAGGGAAGAGAGAGCTGCCAGCACAGTCCTTGACTGACTTGGGGTTTCAGCTGTTAACACTCCTGCTTGGTTTAGCACACTGGTGCTCCACTCCTGACTGCACCATTTAATCATTAGTTGTCATAACGTCTGGCACATTCACATTATTTAAATCAATTCTTTCTCTGTACTTAAGAAAATACTTAAACATTTTAGTAACTTACAGGCAGGACAGGAAAATAGGCAGCACTGAAGGCGTGGCAAATTTCTTGTTAAGCTTTTGACAAATCTGTAAATCACCATCATCTTCTTTTGACAGCTGTCAAAAATATATGGCCCAGTCTTCAGTGTTCAGATGGGGCTAAGGAAAATAGTAGTGATTTCTGGGTATGAGATGGTGAAGGAAGCTCTTGTGAACCAGGCAGATGCATTTGCAGAGAGACCTAAAATCCCAATCTTTGAAGATCTGACTAAAGGAAATGGTGAGTTCATTTTCTTTTTCTTCATCAGCTTGACTTCTTCAAAACAAGCTTTTTTTCCCACAGAAGAAGCAGAGGCTGGCACATCACTTTGGACCAGAGACCACACAAAATACTGGACATAGAGAGCAATTTCATTGACTTCAGTGGCTTTGTTGAAATTTGAAACTCCTGACAGTGATAACAAAACAACTATAACTTTCACAATAATCACAGCAACAGTTAGTCCCACTGACTCCTTGAAGAACTGAAAGTTTGCTTTCCTTTCCTAAATTTCAGGGTCCTGACCTTAGTATTTGCCTGACCCACATCCCTCTGGACTGCAAACTCCACCACTACATGATCACTGCAGCCCAGGTTGCCTCCAGTCTTGATGACACTGACTAGCTCACTTGAGTTGGTGACAAACAGGTCCACTATTGCATCCCCTTTGGTAGGCCTGTCTGTTACCTAGCTTAACATCTTATCCTCAATGCACTCCAGGAGTTTCCTGGATTGCCTACAGCTCACCATGCTGCTTTTCCAGCAGATGTTAGGGTGCTTGAAGTCCTTCAGCAG